CCACGCCCAACCACGCAGCCACGTGGAGGGGAATTTCGACATGCCAAAACTGAGCAGAGAAAACACAAGGATAAAGGAGTGAAGGATCACGCCAGAGGGTACAGCATGAATAACTTAATATAAAATTAGCGTCTCTGCTACATGTCCATAATGCGTAGCTGAGCTACATAATAGATCCTGAGGAATGCAAGGACCGAGAACAAGTAAACTAGGGGGCGCTAGAATTCCAAGATTTGCGGGTGCGCAACAATACATTACGATAGTGACAATCATTGTTCGGGGATAATAGGCCTCATAGCACCATGACTCGAGAGTCATTATGTGCTACTATATGCAGACGCGAGGTGCTAGTCCGGCAACTTGACTGGCACCTGGGGTGTTTGAAAATGCATACCTCATGTACTTGAAGTGGGAGAAGGATCTCAAGTGTTTACAATTTATGGACAAATTAGGCAGTGCTAGTCATTATTTGCTAGTGATTGTATACTAATCGCGCAAGGTGGTATTCCTGGAACTTGACTTACACCTGCAGGGTACATAAAAATGTAGGCCTATATCTCATGTGGCAGAAGTACTTCAAGTGTTCATGATTTGGGGACAAAGCTAGTGCTAGTCATTTTGTTCTAGTGACTATATGCTAGTCAACAACGCTAGCACCAAAGGTGCATAGAGACATTTGCCTCAAATTTAAATGTTCATGATTCACATGTTGGGAGTTATTTATTTTTGTTTTACAAAAGTTGGCTTGTTACAAAAGAGGGTGTTCAAAATTATCACTATATTATAATGACGTTCAATTTCACGAACCGGCAAGCATTTGCGAAATTCGTGCAGTGTTATTCGTTACACGTGAAACCTTCTAAATGTTTTTGGGACTAATCCATGCAATCTATTCCATGGTTCACGGCTAGAGATCTCTGTAACAATAACAATTGATCAAGGTTTATTTGCAAATTTGCTAATTCGTATTTTTTTCTATTTTAATTGTTATGAAAAGAATGAACAAACAGCAAAGTAAAATTATTTATATCACACAAATGGACAAGGTGAGGAAATGTCTAAATAGGATGAGAAAAATAGAATGCAACATGAAAGCAAAATTAATGCTTTAAAATGTGACAAAAACGAAAATAAACCACTATTTAAGAGAATCCGAACAATCTCAGCATACATGCACATGATGAATGGACGAGAAATAATCAAGGGTATCACTTCGTATCATGACAAAACTGAACAGCAGGTATGAACACGGAACATTTTGTTATGGTCACGTCATCTTACAGTCTTCCCTAGCGTAGTTCACCTGGATAGGTGTATCTTTGATTAGTGGAAAACCTCTGGCTTTTCTACTTCACGTTTCGAATGACAAAAACAGGAAAACTGCTCCGCAATATTTTTTATTGCATTTTTACCATTTCCCTCGTTGCAAACCAATTTGAACAACAAGTGCATTAAAATGCCTTGTAATTAACATGAATGATAAAAGACGAATTCACTTTATTGCATTGGAAACTACTCACAGGCAAAATGTAAAGAGACCAAATAAAATCTAAAACCTCCTTTGAAAATTAAATCACCTTTATTTGTCGTTTCACAGGTATATGCCACAATGAGGAACTTGGGGTCAAAGGGCAGCTTGGAGACAGCAGCCGGGGACACCCTGGATAAGAATCTCTTCATCCGGAAACTAGACGTGACTAAGGAGGACACCATCTCGTCTGTGGTAGACGAGATTGTACGCGAAAATGGGAGAATTGACGTTCTAAGTGGGTGATAGTGCTCTGGTAGTAAATGCTTCAGACGAAAATACCCACTACATTCACTCTCTATATTCAAAACATGAAAATGACAGTTTGGGTTTCCATTCTGTTATAGTTCTGTTGAATGTGTGAATCAGATGAATTTGGGTGAAATCTCTGACAACCACGACCAACCTGCGAAAACAGTCGTCCTAAAGAATGACTGCGATTTTCAAGATAATCCCTCCTCCTCATTGCAAAAAAGAGAGCAACACAAGGGGTCACAAAATGAACAAGCTAACAAAGTTGCCGGACCAAGATTTCGTAGGGTGTTTGCTTGATGCTTTTCAGCATCGTTACGTTTAATACGAATGATAGAAAGCAAGACAAGATCGAGCACACTTGTTAATGGTATCCTTGTCAGTACGTGGTACGTCGTGACACTCAGCAGTTCCAAAGTTATTTGAATAATTGGATTCCTGCTCCTCTTTTGTGATCTTTCTATCTCTGAAGTAAACAATGCTGGGTGCGGCGGTGTAGACGGAAATGACCAGTGGCCTCTTGAGAGGTGTCAGGCCATGATGGATACCAACTACTGGGGCGTGGTGAGAACCACCAGGGCGGTGTTACCAGCGATGAAGAAACAGAAGTCAGGCCGAATACTGAATGTGAGCAGCCTCTACGGTGTCTTGGGTAAACCCCAGTCCTTTTATCCAATTTAACCTAAGGCAGTTGCAAAGTTCTGTGATAACTTGCCAGTCTTAGCTGAGAGGTGGCTTAAATTTCTCTTGATGTCTACTTTTCGTCAATAGATCAATTTTTAATCGAGAGAGGGTGTCATAACGGCACTGTAAAGCGAGAAGGGGGTAACATCCGTAGAATTTTCTCTTTTATGGACCTAGGTTGTTTTTTTTACCGCTATAACATCCGTAGAATTTTCTCTTTTATGGACCTAGGTTTTTTTTTACCGCTATAGGTGGCCCCTTTTACGCCACGTATGTCTCCAGCAAATTCGCCGTCGAAGGGTTTACTGAATCTTTCGCTCCAGTGTTGCGAGACGCTTACAATATCAGGTATGGAAGAAGTATAGAAGTAAGCTCTGATGGCTAGTTCTAAGCCGATTACAAAATCCTAGTAAAACAGCTGCTTTTGGCAATACGGCGATTTCTCCCAACGATCTGCTTTGAATACCGAATCAAAGCCTGACACTGAACTAGTCCAATCAAAAGCAGAATTCATGCACCCTTTGGCACTGTAATACATGTACATGTAAAAGCAACTGAAATGATCATGCATACATCCAGAAAAAAGCAGAATTCATGCACCCTTTGGCACTATAATACATGTACATGTAAAAGCAACTGAAATGATCATGCATACATCCAGAAAAAAAAGAAAAACAGGAAAATTACGGAAAGTACATCAGTCGAGGTGCCCTACGGGACAATACCGAACTGGCACTATATAGTTTTTTATTTGAGAGCGCAAGGTACCATGCACCAATCGCCTTTTGTAATGGCGCTGGTGGATGTATGGTTTCGGAACTTTAGTGAGCTATATAATCGAGAGTTAGTTGGGTCAAAGTTCCGAATGTGTATAACACGAGCGCATTGAACGTATGGCCAATCCATTTATTTGCATTTCTCCTACAAGCATTCAATTGTGTTGAAAGGATAAGTCGCCGTAAAACAAGAATTTGTGACGTACTATGACGATTAGGCCGAACAATCTTTCAATTCAATTTTTTCCTGGAAAAAGTAGAATGTTTTATATGTATAGTAAACAAAGAGGCACTACTTGCGTTAAATATACATCAGAATAACCTACCAAAATTGGTGTATATTCCATGTTCAGTGTGCCTCCCAATTGCTATTGCAGGATGAGTATTATCCAGCCGGGTCCGGTCAGAACCGAAATGTTGGCTAACTTCCAGAAAGACCGAGAAGAGTCCGTAAAGGATTTCGACAGCGCCACGCGAGAAATGTACCTGGTACAAAAGAAGAAGATGAAATCCCTTGTGGAACAGTTGGATCAAACCGCCGACGACATCGCAAAGCTACACCTGGAGGTGATACTCAGCGAGAATCCGCACCTGCGGTACCAGACCAGTGAAGCTGGTACTCAGATTGTTGCTACTAAACTTAAGGATCCTACCACTGACGCTCTGCTGGATATGCTGAAGCAGTAAGATGCACTTTACCGAGGCAAACACTGCCCTACAGATCCTTTGCATGCACAGCGATCTTTATTTTTACTGATGGTTTATGATGTATTTCTGATTTTAATGTGCCTTGGAATGTAAAAAGCCTCGGGGATTTACATTAACTCTTCGGTGTGAAACCTTTCTTATCCTAACACCAAATTAAACCAGAACATTTCTCGTCTGGTCTAGCCATTGCAAAGAACATTTGAACGCTTTCCACATCTTTAGTAATACCTGTCACTGTTGATAACAGAACGTTTGATTGTTCTACAGTTAACTGCACAAAATTGAGTCAGACGATCAACATTGACTTGATGGACTCAGAAATTGCAGTTTTGACATTGAATTATTTCAACGTCAGGCACAGTGAGATACGGTTTAACATCGTTTGAGACGTTCTACCAATAAATTTTTTTTTTGCGTTTTTCAATTTACCGAGTTAATATTTTCTGTTATGTTCGGTGGCGATTTCAGATTTTCATTTCAAGTGGAGGACTCATTTGCATTTTTATTAAATCACTCCAGTGACGTCACCCTCTTCAGAAAGGTGTCGACTATTCATAATAGAATATACTGTAAATTGCGCAAAAACTAAAACTTTGACTTTTTGACTCATAATGGACTCGATAGACAAAAAATTGCAATTGTGGAATTTAAGTCAAGCACAATGAGAAACGCTCTAAACATTTTGATACGTACATGTATTCCGACTTTATTTGCATTTCAGTATTTGTCGTCATTTTTACTTATTTATATGTTAATTATGCGTAATGTACAATTTTTATGATCTGTCTCTGTGCTTTGTTTTAAAAATTCGCATTTGGCTATTTTACTTTCAGTATAACCCCAGTTTCAACCTTTTCTCAGTTTTCAAAATAAATACATGTAATTTTTAAAAGAGAAATAACGATGACTGTTCAAGTGGTCTTCATTTGTAAAGACAGTGCGAACCTGTGGTTCTCAAATTAGCCGCTTGTTAACCTGCTTGGTGGTCGTGTTAACGTCCCCTATTCCGTCCAGTCATATCTGTAGCAGTGGGTAAATGGAGTCTGGCATGTTTCCACTGCGGACTTTTATATACAAATCCATTTCCCCTCAGAGCGAGACAGTGTATGCGCCCTCCAGCGATGCACTGACGGTGCCGACTGCGTGTCCGTGTGTGCGACTTAAATTCAGTACATGCACACTGTACGTGCATTAAAAAAAAGAAAGAAAAGAATAGTTTTGACCCGAGCGGAGGAGTTGTACAATGGCTTGAGCCTCAGGGGTCAAGCTCTTACGTGCACGCAGATGTACAAAGCTAACCAACTCAGGGCAGTAGATCGAATCATCTCAGGGCTCAAATCACTAGTGAACAAGTTTTTGTTCTCTAATACAAATTACAATGGGCACTAGTGGAGTGAGGGACGTGGTTTCATTTAAGGAGAAACGGCTCAAAGAGTGGAGATTCTTTGTCTCAAAGGGCGAAGACTCGAATCTCCACTTTTTCGTCGTTTCTCCTTAACATAATTTCCTTGCACCGTTCTTGGATGTCGTTATACTAAAATATCAAGATTAAAAACGATTTTCCAATGTTTCACAGAGATTTAGTTTCTGACCTACTGTCGTGTATCTGCATATCGCAGTGCTGTCAAGGACATATAGTCTACGTTTCTTAACACAGTTACCATCTCAGCAGTTCCGCGGTGTCATGTGTACATTTTGCACTGCTTACATTTGTTTTGCACATAAAATATAATTTTTCTGGTAAGCTATATGCTACGTTGGAAGGAAACATTCATACAACTGTTTTGTCGTAGTATCAAGTACAAAATTAGTGAATATCAACGTCTTGGCCCGGCTCTTTTTAAAAATTACTCTAGACGATGTTCTCCTACATGTCCTATGAAATATTATTTGATGTATTTGTACAGAGAAGAATTTTAGCAACGGTGTTCGACAGTTGGCAGGTAGAACTCCAATGATAAACTGCACAAAACTATAATGGATGACCTCTGAAATATTATTTGGGTTCTGCAGTGATCACTGTCTTCACTAAATATACGGAAAAATGCAAACTTTTGTCGACTTATCCACTCCTCAAATGGTATCCAATATATTGCTCCTGGGTGTCTTCTTCTTTCACGGGTTAGGCTACCTGCCGTCAAGTCTCTTTTTAATTCCATGGTCCTCATTTCAGCCCTGTTGTGTTTTTTTTTTTTTGGTTCCTGACTGAAGGACAAAAACAGCAAATGCCTTCTGACGAACGGGATGGAATTGAACCAGACCAATGCCAGGAAAAAGGGGAACTAGGCGAGGTAGTAATTATCGTTACTAATATCTCACTTTATTTGACCCAAACATCGATGCCTTGCAACGCTTTATAAAAGCACCGACGTGGTTTTCCATTCTACTCGCTTGGACTTTTTCTGGACACAGCATACTTCAAACTCAACTACAAGAACTCCTTCAGCATGCATATTTACACGAGTATATTTCATCAGGTTTATAGCACCATTCTGGCATTAATTCTTTAGCACCATGGTGAGTAGAAAAAAAAATGAACTGTGAAGCTGAAACGGAGGTATTTAGTTCTTGATCATTCTGCATAATGCCCGAAATATAGTTTCGAAAAATTTATTCACGGTAAACTACTTCATTCAATGGGTTTATCAAGAAAACTGCTCTTGGCTCACACTTCCACAGCAAAGACTGCTTTCAAATTTCCTTAAATCGTTCTTGAGCGTCCACTGATAGTGTTACACGTTTTCGGTTGTAGTTTGGACATGTGTCATCTGTCGATGTAGCTTTTGTCTCATTTTTGTGTGTGACGAAGGACGTGTTGTCTGCAGAAAATTCGTAGGGTTTGTCAGCAAACTATTCTCTACACCAGTTCGCCCTACTTCTAATTTTCTTGCAAATTGTTCCAATTTGAAATTTCATCGTCATGTGTATACTGTTTTAACACACGAACATGCCAAATATCCAACATCGCCGAATTACAGGCCAAAGCTTCATTTACACTTCTCGCTTGCCTCCTTCTTCTGATGTGCAAAAGAAAAAGACATCTACAGGGGACAAAATGAGGGGGAAATCCCAATTGTATGTTCCCATACGCCTCCAAGGCCGAAATCACTCTAAATAATATTACCGGAACGCCGGACACCCGAAAAGAGAGAAGCTAGGCCCCACACACGCCTTTGCTACAGGCAGGAAAGCACTTCTTCTTCCCACATAGATCTTGCAGGCAATCAAGCTGCGAGCATTTCGATTCTTGCCGAGTTATAAAGGGTAGCTGCAATCAATTTGTTTCAGTACAGACCTTCAAATTGCACCTTTGTGTCTCAGTCAATCTTATGTTCAACTCTTGTTTCACTATTATAAAGGGTAATTCACCGCCTTTTTGTTTTTATGCTAATGAGTATTTCCGTATTCATGAGCAAAATTGTGATGTCGTCCCGGGGAGCAAGCTTTGGTGTTTCATTGGTTTGTGCACAATAAAATGCTGCATTTTGGTAGATTTTGCGGGACTAATTTTTCTCTTCTTTGTTGATTTATTGTTGCTCATGTGTATAGCAATAATAAGGCATCAGTCCCTTTCTCAGAAACGTTTTGAGTAAGTAAATGCTGAGTTCACAATTTTTACTGATAAATTAATGCACAGAACATTGTCTTGCCTAGATATCGTCAAGGCAACAGGACCCTCAGTTGTCCAGGAAAGCAGTGATAGTTCTTAGTGTTCAAAAATTATACTTTTATACATTTAACCAAATACGAGTGTCAAAGAGTTTTCACATACTGAAGAATAATACTGAGTTACAGAAAGGTTGTGTATAAAAAAAAATCATTGCAGCTACACTTTTGGGGAAAATTCTGTCAAATAAAATGAAGCCAGTCCAAAGTTCCAGCCAACAAATCTCAAAAAGGTCCAAAAATATAAGAGCGTGTCAATGTTTCCAACAGAATGGGAAAAAATAACAAACTTCGAAAAACTTACTTTAGCTATCGATCAATGTAAAAATGTGAATAATCACAAAATCTCAGAACCACTAATACTAGCACTACAAGACACATAAACCAGCAGGGAAAAACAAGAAAAAAAGGAATACATTAAAAACTAATAAGGGTCCTATGACAAACAGTTGCATAGTCCCTAACTGTATTTGATTGAACTAGTTCAGTTCGGCATCCCTTCCCTGAGTGTTTCTCTTGCGCGGTCTCTTGTTCTTGCGGGGTCGCGTGGAGCCTTTCTGTGGCCTTTTGGTGCTGCTGGTCGCCGGTCGCCGCCTGTTCTTGTTCGATCCCTTGGTCTTCTTCTTGGACTTAGCTTGGGGCCGGCCTTCTCTCACTGTCTCGGTCGGAGGTTCTTGAGTGGCGGTCTTTCAGAAGTAAAGAGAGTATAAATAAATAAAACTTTTCCGCAGGGGGAAGATTTCAAGGAAAAAGCTCTTCGCCACTAATAATTTTGTTCGCAGCCGGTGTGTTTTGTGCGCATTCGGGGGAATATTCAAGGGCCAGTTTCTTGGAGCTGCTTGCCGATCAGCAGTAATATTTTCCAACCACTTTGTCGAAAACCCTCAACGAAGGTTTCAGACTGGAGAGATGGTTCAAAGAAGGGAGTCTGTATGCTTGCATGTAGAGCTGTTACAATGTCAGGATTAGGCAAACTCTTCGCCTTCCTGCGCACTTTCCGCGCCTTTCAGCTGTGGCTATTTAGGACTGGGGTTTCCTCCGCAAAAAATCAGGTTCACTTATATGAGGTCCCCCCATGTAGCGCAATGTTTATAACATGCCGGAATACAGTTGAGCAGACGGTCATTTAGGGTGCTTACCATGCAGAGAGCTTACGATGTAGCAAACGATGCCGGTTTGTCTCGTTTGACTGAAATCTATATTTGGTGTGTTTTAGTTGATTGCATCCATTAAAACACTTCAGTGAAGTCCTCGTCGGCCTGCTGAGTATCTACAGAAAATACCAGACAGTGTTGTGCTTACCTCATCGGAATCACACACCCTGCAGCTGACCTTACAGAATTTGTGCATGAAGTTGGTATTTTGGTCGCAGTAGCCGCGCTTTGCCCACTTGGGGCACTGCTTGTGGGTGTCCGAACACTCTAAAAAAAGAAACGGCGGGAAAAATGCTGATCAGCTAACAAGCTTTAATAAATGATTCTTAACCTTCTGAAATATGTCTACCTGATAAATAATGGCACGCACTTTTGTTTTGTGAGTATACTGCTCCACCTGTTTAATTAATCATGGTTTAACTGGGATCACAACTTCCTAACTATCGCTGCCTTATGAAGTGTAAGGACTAGCCGTACAAATGACGGACCTGTAAAACGTAACTGGGAAAATTCTGGCAAACTGTTTGTGTTTGCTGTCGTACTGAGTCTTCTGTCGAAAATATAGTCTCCACATTGCTCTTGAAGTCACACATCGCCATTTTTCAACTGCATATACAACTTCCGGAACGTTCCTCGATAAAGCGTTTCAATTATACTGCACCTGTTGGACCTCTTCCACAGTTCCCGCAGCTCAGCGCACAGGCTTTCGCCAGTCCCAGTGGATTGGACAAGCAGTCGCCCCTCTTGGCCCAGACTCGGCAGTTGGCATCTTTATCAAAGCAAGCTGGAGCAAAAAACAGAAAAAAAAGAACGCAGAGAGACTGAATGAGAACAGAATAGAAAAAAACATGCAATGCTCCTCAGCACCATCGAGACTGACTTGAAACGACTCTTCGAAATGTCACGACTCTAAATCAGGGGAAATATTTCCACTTGTCACGTGGTCGTTCTTGTGGTAGGGTCTCGTTTTCCATATTTATCAGTCAGTTGCTACAGTTGGTCTATGTTACCTTGTCATTTATTTGATGCATAGAAAGTTTTTTCACGGTGTTTTCATCAGGCCTAAGCGCCAACGGTTAATTGACTAAGTACGCAGTAAGAAGAATGTAAATGTTTTGATACGGCAAAACAAAAATCTTTAAACATTTTCATATGCGCAGACATCAAAAGCCCAGGTTTCCAGACCACATTGTCTAATTTCTCAAGTTCTCACTCCCTGAGTTTCCACTCAAAAGGCTTACTTTTTCAGTCCACAAGTCAGACTCCAGAGAGGACTTGGGCTGAACATGGAATCTTGCTGCACGGTACATATCTTGACTTTTGTTGCTCTAAGTTCTTCGTTGCCTGTCACTTGCTTGGATGTCTTACGCTTAAGATAAAGGGGTTACTATGGTTGCTGAGGTCGCTATAGCAGCCGCTGTTATCGCTGCCATATACCTGAAACTTCTGTGCCGTCAAGGCATGTATTGTCATTGTCGTTGTCATCGTCACTGTATTTTTACCATTATTAAGAGGCAACTGCAACAAGCCACTTACTGGGACAATAGCCGCAACTTTTCCTGCAGTGGTTCTTCATGTATCGCACATTGACGTGACAGTTGCCGTTTTGGTACCACCTTTGGCAGTGAGGGTGATAATCCCTACACACACCTGTAGGAGAGGAGTCAAACAGGTATTGAAAAGAGTCGGATATGAAGTACACGTGGGCCAATTACATGTACAACCTGCGGTGGGAAAGAAGTAAGTAAACATCATCCTGTTTGGCCAATAAACTCCCCGTTAAAGCACCCAATTTCTGCCTAACACCGAGCAGAAGAGTTGTGCTTACCGCAGCAGAATTTTTCACTAACCGTAAGCACTAGTTCACGCCGAGTATGCTTGGCGTGCTTGTGCTTACAGTTGCGCGCGCATGAACATTTCCACTTTTTTGTGACTACTTTAAGCAATTTTCGCCCGAGGTAAGTTCTGCATGCAATCGACAGAGCTTCCGTCAGCGTAAAATCGTACGCTTAACAGCGGCATGAAATAAGGCCCAACTGTTTGAAGGACGTCTAGAATAGAGAGCAATGTCACGCTGAAATTTTTTATTTTCAAATTACCAACTCAGCTGGTTTCTTTGAACAAGTTTGCTAATCATACACGTCTGCTCTACGGGGAAAGTAACACGCCTTTTAAAACAGGCACGCACCGTCTGATTGAATGCCGGAATGTTGAAACGTTCTGTGAATGTACAGAAAAGTAATCCTGCAGGTTTGGCTAATCTGTGCAAAGTATTTGAAGTACCACTGCCCTGGTACGCAGAATCTGATTGGGTCAGTTTTGCTGCGCCAGAAATTCGTATGTGTCTCGGGCTCTTATTGGCGCACAATCACCAGCTCACGTGATCTCCAAATCTCATAACAGCCTTGACATGTTTGTTTAACAAATACAAAGTTAAAGAAAGTACATGTATGCCATCAAAATGATTGAGAAGTGAGACACTTAGACCTGTATGGGTGGAAAAGCATGGCACAGCAGGATCGATTGTGGAAAATATCAAAACATGAAAATGAATAAGCGAGGGAGGGGGGACTTGCCGATGAATGACGAAGGAATGAAATTAATATGCGAAAAAGGCAGACAGATTTGACGCTGATGAGAGAAAGTACAATATCCCTGAAAAAACTTCAATTTCATGAAATACAGCACCTTAAATGAATTGGTGCATTCAAGACTAAAAAGCCACGAATATCATCTCGCTTCACTTCAGATTTAATATGATTTTTAAAAAAAATGTAAAGTCGTCAACTCAATTATCAACGTTACTAACTCGTTCACATACTCTTCCGCATTCTCCCTCAGACTGTTCATAATTCTCAACACACTCACATTATGATTAACTTAAAGTCACCAACATTTTTAATACACTTTATTATAATCACGTATAATTACTGAAACAATTTGCAAGGGTACTACATGACATTTTCACTATAGCAAAACTGGAGATTGTTAACATACGGCATTCCTTTCTGAACGTAACCAAACAGATGTTCATGATTTTCCCAGTGAATGTCATAAATCATCGTTTGTGATATGCAGGAACCTTAAATAATTGTTTTCAACAAAACCACATCTTTTAAATTATACCCTTAAATGTTTGCTTTTCGTAACGCGCTCTTACACCTCATGTGACAAGGCCAAGGTAATTCGTTAAGTTTGCAAAAACTTCACAGCACAGAAAAGTCTAACCATGAAGACATGAACGTGAGCCATTTTAGACACCATGCACAACTTATCAGTTTATGAGCTTTCGTTTTCTGGGTATGGCTTCTTGGAAGCCGTTATTTCATGGCCTCTTGTTGCAAACTCAACTTTTATTGATACAGAGCATATCGTCAAACAGTTTCCTCTAGAAAATGTCACCCTACGTCACGGTAGGCCTGCACTGTATATACCTCCCGTGCTATTTAATTCAGCCGGCGTCGACTCGTTTAGGGCGGGTGCAGGCGGTGGCGGGGCTCGGTCGTACACTCCACAAAAGCCGCAACTCAGCGGGCAGTTGGACCTCATCCATCGGGAGTTGTCGCCCCTGCAGCCCCCGCCGTCGGCGAGCCTCTTGCAGCGTCTGTAGTGGTCCAGGCACCCTGATTCGTCGAGGAGGAAGTAGTTGAACAGTGGTTGAATTGGATAGAAAGTGACAGCTGTCAGTGGCATACGATTACAAATATTAACACTGTGGGAACAATAATGAGTGCTACAGCAGAAGCCATCTTGGTTACTCAACTGTTAAGGAAAAACACTCAGACTAACATTTGAGATGCTCAAAGAAGATTTAAGTAAAGCAGTAAAACAAAAATAAAAAGGTTAATTGACATTTGTTTGAGTATTTGGAATAAAAAAAGCTTTTCAGACTTCTATTGATGCTGATTAAACAAGTGCATATTAAAGCAGGACTTTCATTTAAAGTAAACGCAAAGGACAACTTACATGGCGCCAAACGGAAACAGGGGTGCAAAATTAGAAAGTTACAAAGGAAAAAAAGGGACCAACGTGGACTGAGTGAATAGCCGAACGAATCCAGATGTACACGAAGGAGACAGGCGCATACGGCTCTGTAAATTGACCGCGTTCATCTGAAAGCTGAGAAATTGGGTAGCGGAGAACAACCAAAGCAAGCTGTTTGAGCAAAGTAAATTAACAAAAAGAAAGCAAACTATTTATGTGCTGTAAACAAAAATAAAAGGTGAAATACAAATACTGTGTACGAGCAAACTATTATAATACATATTCAGTCAAATTAAACAACAGAGGTTAAAAGAGAAATTAGGAATTCACTACATCACAGCAGCCTATGATCTAGGGAATATGGAGGGGGCTATAGCTTGTTAATGTCAAAGGATATTTTTCACCAGACTGTCAGAAGACGAGCCGTGTCTCACTGGCCGACGACCACTTAGTGTACCTGGCAGGGTTTTTCGTTCGTGACAGCGCTGACAGGTTTTGCGACAGTAGACGTTCATCCAGCCGGGGTTGTACTGACAATCTCCCTTGGCGGCCCACGCCGGACATCTCTGATAGGAATCGGTGCAGTCTGAGACACAACGAACAGACGGTCACATTTCCTTCACTTGAAAACTGATTCAATAAAGAGCCTCGTGAATAAAATCTGATTTTACCCACGTGGCTGATCCAGAGCTAAATTTACGGGTTGGACAATAATTATTTTGAGGGTGGCCAAACATACTGGAAGTCGTTTATGAACCTTTTTATGGCTCTATTGAGGGTTGAGGCACACACGCAGAAGGGAATGCAAAATGAAATCCCCCGGCCAATCACCTCACTCTCATTTTTTTTCAAAAACAACAAAAACACTTTCCCCTTTTGGGGGTTGGGATATGATCCCACCCCCCCCCCATCTGCCAATATTTACTATACACGACTTACAATTCTTTGACTTCCGATGTCTGGTTTTGTGATAGTCTCGAGTACAACAATGCCTATCAGCTCCGTGAATGGAAAAATGTTTTTGTCACAAAACTGAGCCAAAAATCTGCCATCCCACCAGCCAGGGGAAGTTACGATAAGTACCGACAGACGGTGGCATGTACCTTGGTGTGCCTCCTCGACCTCGCCCGGGCAGGCGTCGCAGCTCTTTGGGCAGTTCTTCTCCATCCATTCGGTGGCGATGTCGCACTCGCCGTTCCCGGCCCAGAGTTTGCAGGTGGTGAATCGATCCGCGCATTTGTTCCGCTGCTTGGCCGTGGGAGCTACGGTAGAACCAGAAGGAAGTGGAAATGAGAGCTGAAGAGGTTTAACCTTATCAAAATGTGAGACTGAAATTTGCAAGGGACATCCACTATGAACTGGCGAAATTATAACAGTAACTCCCCCCCCCCAATAAAATAACTAAATAAATAAATAAATAAATAAAGAAACTGTTTAGTCTGCATAACATTACCCATCATTCTATGCGGTCAAGACTACCAACGTATTGGCAATGGATACTTTATTTTATAGTATTCGCAATCCACATCTTAAAGCAAACTAGTCTATTCCAAGCAATAATATTATCATTAATGATTTATTACTGATAACAAATCATGATACCATTAATGGGAACAAACGTCTCGTTCATGACAATTTTCTAGTTCTCTCATTTTCCGTAACACAAATGAGACCGTTTCGAAACAACATGTAGCGGTAGCACTCTTCACTGATTGGCGGGAAAGCCTGTGATTGCGTAATGCGAGGGAATCTTGAGCGTACTAACTAATGTTGTTGGTAGAAAGCAGACGAGAAAAGCCAGCAATGCTTACTGTATGCCAATATGCCAACGAGCAGCAGCCGCTATGGGCAATGCCGGCAACTTTAATACATGCAGATAGCGTTTTTGTGTTCAAGTTTCGGACTTTCTTTCACCCAATTACCTGTCGTCAGAACAGTTGCCATGGAACAGTAACCGCAACTGATTGGGCATTTGACCCTCATCCACTCCTCGTCGTGTTGACAATCGCCCTCTTGTGACCAAATGTTGCACAGGCTGTGCCGGTCTTCGCACGGGGGAGTACCTGTGTATTGTGTGTGGTCACGAGGTTGTACGCAAAGCATCCCAATGTTTTTTCAAGGGTTAGATGACCAAGGTTTAGATTGTTAGAGTTTTTCGAAATTGAAATTGTGGTCCCTTTCTTCCTTCCTCCGCAGTGATGTGTCTAGCCAGCATGCTGGTTAGCTTTACATGTGTTTGTGCGTTTCACAAAAATGTAAATTGCAACTTTTGTGTCATGTCTCATCAGTTCACATTAACAGGCGTGCCTTGGATCTGTCATTTGTTGTTTTGTTTGTTGGGTGTTTGTTTGTTTGTTCGTTTCATATTTTATTCTTCCCGGAATGTTTGTGTACATGACTGTGATCTTTCTGCACTCTATAAAGCTAATTTCAAAAGAGAAATGAGTTGTTCCACAGCAAAACGAAACTGCATTTCAAACAATTGGAAACCAAAATACGGCAGCAACATAAGGGATATGAAAACGCGAAAGCAAGCGAAGAATAGTTTTCTTAATTGGGGAGTTATGTCAATCAAACCACACAAATCTAGCTCAATCGCTGATCAGTAACTATGGAGGGGGGATAAAACAAGACCCACGGGTGTACAACACGCATTGCATTGCTGGCCTGGAATCTCCGGAGGTTTCAAAGTTGTCCAATTGATGAAATTCTCAAATAAGTTCGTCCTCGCCGTCCAAACATTCGGTGTCGTTTGCAGAGATTCTTAGCCAACGGTCCAGAGCACGTCCCCACGGGTCCCTCATGCTACAAGTCTGCCATAAGTCATGCAGTCTCGAGTTGAGTCAGAGCGCCGTTCACTCAGTGCTTCATTTGGAGTGCGACAGCCTTGTCATTTTTCATTGGTCTGTTATGACCTGTACGCGAAGGGACTTGTGATCAGACTTGTGTTGGACTATCGGCAACTGTCAGCTGCTCTAACCTTGGGCGAAGTGTATTTGACATGCATGTGCGTATACGGTGATTTCCTTGTGTTTTTAGAGGCTTGTGGATGTCCTTCAAGGTATACACGTAAGTCTAGCGAGCGCTTCACTATGAGCGCTCCATTCACTGCACGGTTAAACTGCGAACAACACGAAGCAGGCCATGCGAGTTATTATAATTGTCACCTCATTCATTCTATCTACAAAGTATAATCAAGTGGTCCTACAAGTCTCGAATCCAAATGTCCAATCCAATTGTCTAAGAATTATCAAAGAACATTATGAACTAAAAAAAACAAGGTTTGAAAGTTTCCGTTCGGAGATAACAAATAGCAAAGATTCGTTGTCTTTTTCTCTTCTACTTTCTCGAAATGTATGCATATTCTAAGGCAATTCCGTCCAGGTTTCCTCCCACGGACTGGTAAAATTTAAGACGTATCGCATCGGACTGACCTTTGACCCCCGTGACCCGTTCATCAATGCACATGCCGCAGCTCTTTAGACATCGCTTGTACATGAAGTCGGGCTCCCTGGTACACCGCCCATTGTCCGCCCACTGGTCGCATCGCCTCATCTTATTCTGACAAATCTGGCGGCGGCGAGCAGGTGGCTTCTGGGTGCCAGACCCGTCTGTGGGACATTGAAAAAAGGCAAAGGTACATTGCTAAGGAAACTTGCAGACGAATTTATATCTTTATGTGCACCTTACGGGTGATGCCTACCACCTACGTTCTATTGTGGATGAGAATTCGACTTCGATAACGTTTTCATAAGCAAAATCCTTTTAGCTTGCATTGCCCAATATTAAAACTAAGTCTGTGTTAATGGTCCTAGCATGTACGTGTAATTTAATAAGCGTGATTTGAAAACTCCTTTTCAAATCTGCTTCTTATTCAGAAAACCCGTCAATACCCCTTCCCCCGAATTCCATTCTTCGTAGACTCATTTTCTTTTCAAATTAGCGGCTCGCATATCTTAATTTTGCTTTGATAATGTGCAAAACTTGCACACTATCACAAAACCTGCACGAGGCTGTGGATGTTTTTATGGATAAACTTGTTTTTGTCACAAAACTGGACCGTTTCGAACTAACTGAGAAAACAGACACATAACAAAGAAAGTAGTGCAAATCACTATACTCTGAAAACAGACCGTTTCCGAGATTCCACCATCTTTGTGATCTCGTGGTAATCCTATGACACTGCGTTGCGGCATAGACTGCAATCCATCATTCTCAGAATACAGCAGCTTGATCAGATTTATTCCGCTGCAAGGCCCCATGAATTTCCATATGACCGCGCAGATCGCAGCCACCGTAAAACGACCCACACAATCACCTGTCTCTGTGGTAGTGTCGTCCCAAATTTCCACGGTAACCCCGGTCTTGTTTGCACATCTCCAACAACTAAGGGCGCAGTTCTCCATCATCCACTCCGGGTAGCTCTGGCAGACGCCGTGTCTTGCCCAAATATGGCAGAGGGGATGCAAGTCCCGGCAATCTGGAAGATGCCGTTTGTTACATTTCCATGCCCGAAAGACAACATTCTCGACAAAATTATTCAGTACTAAACAAATTGGTACAAAAACTTCACTGTCACAATGCTTAAAGCACATTGGCTCCGCAAGAGAACAAGCAATCTTCCTGCATTGAATACTTCGAGGACAGTATGCGTCACGTACCCGGTACCGGCAGCCTCGAAATAGCTACGCTTAAACGTAAGAACTGTTAGAAGACTACAAAGAATCAATTTATAGTACACGTATTTGTTACAAGGTTCCAGATCTCTGTAAGGAAGAAAATGATAAAAGAAAGTAACACGTCTATACACCCTTCTGATTCCTGACACTCTACAAACGAGTCCTTAAATGACTTCTTAACTCCTGTTCACACAAGAACTCTGTATTTTCAGTCAGTCCCCACACTCTTTTACGACATCTCTGCCTCTGTCTTCTCTCCCCTTCATTTTCCCCTTCAAATTCACCTGTTATTTCTCAATCACTCCCGCATATAAACAGCTTTTCTTATTTTAATTGTGAAAAGCAGAGAAAATCAGAGAAAGTCGGAGCAAATGTTAAGAATTACAGAGGGAAGTATGGCGTTTGCAACAGCAGGTGATACGAGGAAAGCGCAGCTGGAAACGAAAGCAGTGATGGGTGGGGAGAATTAGACAGCGTGAGAAAAAGTTTGGTGAGTGATGTGGTGTCAACAGCATTTGGCTTGGTACAATGAACGCTACATGGTATATACGCGGATGAATACCGTAACAAAGGAGAGTGGATAAGGGTATTGCTTCAAAGTAAACTATGACTATTTTGCCAAGATTTCTGGGTTCTTCTCGCTATCAAAATGTTCTTGAATTTCATTAAAAGTCACACAACTTTTATCCATATGTTCGAGCCATTTAACGGAGCACTGCGCACTAATATTGTTTCTATCGTATCAATTTTGTTCCTACTAGAGTTAAGCCTGAGAAAAATTACAGGACCTCGCTTCGTTTTCGATTGAATCAAGATGGCCTACTCTTAAATAAGGCGAACTATACAGGCTCTGATTCAAAAGCAAAAGCATGGCTTCAATATTACAAAGTTTCTGTTTGACTTGTACCTCCTAGAATTTCAGACACAAATACTTGATTTCAGACTGCTACTATCCTGTCCCTTCCTCCAGGGGAAGGGGAACTTTTGGGAAGGGGGGATCACCATATACCTCCATCACCGACAGTATGGTCGCGATCCGTCTCGACGCAGACCCCACAACTCTTGTGGCACGTCTTCTTCATGTACTCGGGATTGTTGTAGCATTCCCCCAACTGGGACCAATCACCGCACAGCGGACTGTCATCGTAACATTCTGGAACGGCCAAAAGTAAGTGCATCGAAAGACAAAGTTAAAAGTCTAACTCGAGTCACATTTTTGGAGACTCGACTTGACTCGAGTCACCTCAAGTAATGGCCTCGACTTGATTCGAGCCTAACATAAAATTCGGTTGACTCGTTGAAAGAAAGCATCAGTTTCAAGCGTCGGTTTAATACAAGAAAAAGATATACGCAAAAGCACTTGTGAATCAACTTAAGATTAAAATTAAAATTGTGGATATAAAATCCAGGCCGTTGAAATATAAAACTTGCAAACGCATTAAGTGGAAAGGCGATTTCTTTACGTCTGACACGTCGATGCGCAAACGTCGAGTAGCATCGTCAAGATCGCTTTGTTAAGGTGTTTCTTACAACTTTTTCCACCTTCCTGTTTATTTGTGGACAACGGCCTGTAAAGGGACCTTCTCCGGGGTACAGTTCCTTACTAAAATGATGACCAACCTCTTCTGGCATGTACATCGTTGGGAGCTTTGCAGTAACCGCAGCTCATCTTACAGTTGTAGCTCATGAAATCCGGGTTACGGTCACACTCGCCATGTGACGACCATTTCTCACAGTTGTTGGAGTAGTCCCTGCAATCTGAAGGATACTGAAACGCATTGGTGTTCATTCAAAATGGAGAGAACAGTCATTACCACACAATTTCTTGTATACAAAGAAAAGAAGAGATCCGATTTGGACACTTGCTGTAAAATCCATGTTGTGCTTAACAGGAATACGACAAAGTGTGTTAAGAAAGCTTTCTTGATAGGGTGAACGCATTAGGGAGCCACATGAAATGTTTTTACATGGAGCCGTTACGGGAAGGCTGGAAATTTTTTTCGACTTGTCTATTTTCTAAACAATTTTAGAGCTTGATAAGGTCGATGCAGCTGAGGTTGGGGACGAGCCAGCTGACCTCTCCCTAGCCCTGGGCCCTCTGGACCAGGTTGAAATCACCGTGCTCACCTCCACCGGAATACTCGGCCTTGTTGCAACTCTCGCAGCTAAACGGGCAATACTTCTGCATCCAGACGCTGCTACGGCGACACTCGCCCATGATGGCCCAGGTTGGACAGTTGTCCTTGTCGGTGTCGTAGCACGCTGATGTAAACGAAATCAAAGTGAAATGGAGAAACAGACAGAATAGATAAAAAGATAGATATAGATAGAAAGTATATAATGAGTCATACTTTCAAAGAAGAGTGCTGTCTTATCTTAATTTTTCACAACCCGTGTATATTCATGCACAGAATCACATAAATTAACTATTTAACAAATGTACCGTAGTTTATACAAAATACCACGATCAAGGGCGAATCTGGGATTTTCAGAAGGGGGGCAACTAGCAGGGTCAAATGTGAGCGTGCAGCGCGAATCCCTTAGTCAGAACGTAAATGTAACGGAGCCCAATTAAAATTCATTGTCGAGCAGGCGGTTGGGGGCGCACCCGGTGCGCTCCCGCCCCCCCCAAAAAAAATCAGCCAATGTACAACTTGTAAAAAATGTACAGAGCATGTCTTAAGCTACACATCAAATTTCAATTATAAAAATTAACTACTCTATGGCCGGGGTTTGAAGGGATGAAATCCGTCTCTGGCTGTGGGGCGGCCAAACGTAAAGTCATTGTGAAAATGATTTCCTTACCTCCACATCTGTAGAGTGCCGTGATGCGGTAGACATCAACGTAGCTAAAGTCGTTCCTAGTTCCCGGCTCCTCGTAGGTCGGGTAAATGGTGCCGATAGTCTGGCCGCCGTTCTTGCTGAAGGCGTAGGTCGGATAATGCATGAGGGACAGGTAGTCGTAGCCAGTGTCGAGTAGTGTGACGTCACGGCGGGAGTACTTAGCGAAGTTGTCCCACATCTCTGTCAAGAGGACGAAAAAGAGCAAGAGAAAAAAGGGTCGAGGAATTATGACAGAATCAGAGAGGCATTACGGTGCAAACATGAAATTTATCATTAATTGAATTCAGTCGATATTGCAAGAGACACTAAGAAAACGCGTATGTGCTCAGAAGCGAAGCTAATTGTGTTAAAGGTCTAATTTCCATCAGAAGAAATTTGTTTAAAGGCCTAAAGGCCCTTAACTCCAGAGTAGCATTGGCAACTTGCGGCTTGGGTTATCTACGTTTGAGGTACATAAGACCAAAAGCAAAAGCAAAAGAGGGCGTACTTTTGTCGATATTCTGCCAGTATAGGACCACATAGTTGTCCCTGTCTGGTCGGTTGTGCTCGTGTCTGAAGCCAAGGGCATGCATCAGCTCGTGGATGATGGTGCCTCGGCTGTTTTTGCACGTGCCTCCGATCGAAACCGTCTGGCGCCCCCCTCGCCGGCCAATCATCGACCAGCACCTGAAGAATATCACGAACGAAACCATTAGACTTGAAAACTTTCAGAAATTTCGCCTCTCCATGCACAAAAAGCAAGTGAAAACGTCAGGTATTTTGATGTGATGACAAGCGACATAATCACACTCTGCTTTGAAAAGAAGCCACGATTGAAAACAAGTAAAAGATGGTGACTCGTGCACCATAACTAGGGGTCTCGCTGTACGGTTCAATTTTCCGGAGTGCTCGAGATCTCATTTCTGAATTGGGCAGTCAGTGGATTTGATCAGTCAAACAATGCAAATATCTCTTCCTTCAATGGGGGAAGACAAAGGCGTCAATCTGAGTGGTGGGCGCGCATGGCCCCGCCCTCCACGCCTAGTCCCCTCCCCTAGTCTCATGTATCCACAAGGCACACACGCAGCTGCCCTTAATGGGACAGAAGCCAGAATTTTGGCAAAACAGGACATTAATCAACCACCGTCCAAAACTGCACAACCTCACCCTTCACCCTCCGTGATAACGATGTAATCTCGTTCGATAGTCCGGGGTCGGAACTGAATACACGTCTTCTCGTGAAATCGTTGCATCGCTGAGAGAATGAACACTCTCTGTTCAGTAGCTTAAAAAAGGAGCAGAAGGAGGAACCAAAAGATAACAGGTGTCAATATCAGATTAGAGGCAAATACGGGCGTTTCACAATAGTGCACCTCAAAGAGTTTGCAACGCACTAGCCAGTCAAGATGAGCAAAATCTGTGGACCCATGCGCGTTTGGAAAGGGTCGACAGATTTCGCGCATTGTGATTGGCCAACGCGTTGCAAGCTCTTGGAGGCGCACTATTAAGAATCGTTCGTATTGAGCAGCTGTGAATGGCGAACCTCTAATACAAAGCGCTGATATTATGTCATTGTTAATATTCCTTTAAAAATAATTAAGTAAGTCTAAAAAGGGTAAATTTTAATTTATTGAAAAGCACAATGCTGCGAGGCGCAGTAAAGGACATTTTTCTTTATTTCACGCGCAAAACATATAAATAAAAAAAATCGATAAAGTTAGCACAATGAAATAATCATATCTGGAAGTTTATAGCTGATCTAGGACGATTACAGCCGACTTTCCAAGGATGGTGTTTCAGTTCGCTTAGTGCCTTTTGTATATGAAAGTTTGGAGGCATATCCATACCTTTGTTATGGACAAGTGGCCCCTATTACTTAAGTACAGTTCGAAATAGATTCGAACCCTCGAGAACGAAGAACAGCACACATGTGTAAAAATGCTGGGGGTTGCCCATAACGATTCAGCACCCCTTTTGACCCCCCTGCTTTCCTGGGCTGCCCTCAGCTTATACTGCAATGGTGCAATAGTTGGCAGTACTAAGGGTTGCGAATCAAAGCTTAGCCTAGTCCTGAGCCCTGATATTCATTAACGTCAGGGCAAGACTGTCCTCTGAAGTTCAAATCCAGGACATGACGCAATGACTTCACAACAAATTGTAAAAAACTTCCCCAATGTCTCTCCAGGGCCTTTCGAATACACTGTTTCAGATTACTGGCTTCGCAGTAACAGCATTTTCATATCAAGATAATTGGTGGCGGAAACATCAGGCCTTTACCTTGGCAGAAAAAGGGGATATCAGCGTGAGTGATTTCCCAGTGCTGGGGACTGTCTGCCCTGCCCATGGCAGGGGGAAAACACTTAAGTAAGTTGTCAAATTTCAAAGCCACCATGGCTTAGACCCCAACCCCTATCTCGCGTCAAGGGTGTTTTATTTCAGTGTTAAGATTCAGGATTTATTCTGAAATCCTGGAATCTCTGGCGTTGTCGCTGAGCCATTACTAAGCCACTAAGTCTCAGGAAACATCCAGGAAGCTTTAATACTTCGAAGTTATCGTTCACCATGTTGCACATGTATCCCTGACATTTTCAACTCAAAGTGCTCCGTATTTTGTCAGGGCCGTATGCAAGTTAAAGCTACAACGCCAGCATCAATTTAAATTTACCAATTTCTGTCCAGACGTACACTGATCACACAGGCTGTAAATTTTCACGCATCGAAGGTTTAGTTTCCACATTTTGGGGGATACATTACACAATCTTTAAAATGCTCGTTCTCGGGGAAAGGGAAGTTTTGAAAATGTTTTCAGCACGCATCAGGAAAGTTTAATAAGGCTTCAGATTTTCTCCAAGCTAATCATTCTATGCAAAACAGTGATCACAAGTATAACAAGTTAAAACCAAATTGAGCAAGATTTAATCGATATATTTACCAAAGGAGAACTCGCAGTGCAGTGAAAGCGATATGCCGCGTGATATTTGGCATTTTATGGCCCAGTCACACAAACGAGCAGTTACTTAAAGTGTTGACAGAAAGTGAACGCTAGGCTAAATGCATGACGGAAACCCTCTCAGTTATGACGGCAACCCTCTCGATTATGATGTCCACTCAATAACATTAGTACCCCACGTGATGAGCATGCGCTCACCCGTGACAGCCACCCTGTGACGTCATACCTAACAAGACCGGTGACTGGCCAGAATAATCTGTCTCAGCTCAGAGCGGTATCCGGGTTTTGAAACTTACTCAGTTTCTTTAAACACGATGATTTACAGCCCCAACGCGCGGTTTATTCGCTCTCGTTGTAAACAGTCTTGTAGGAAACCAGTGTGTTTTATGTTTTATCGTGCCCTCACTGCAAAATATCGCACGATATAGACTTCAACGCAAAAAATCCATCAACTGTTTCCGTTTATCGCTTGGATGTGAACACTGGCCGTCTAAACTACAAACGGCAATAACGCATCAGCTTGAGGAAACCAGCAAATCAACTTCCCATAGACGAGCCTGAGTGAGTTAATGCTGGCCGTGGCCAAGTATTGCGGGCACAGCCTGTTAGCACTTACAAAAGTAACCATCGATTACGTATGGTACCACGCCTCCTGGCCATAACCTCCGCCTGTCCGTTATTGCATTCCGTCGTTTCTGTAGGAAAAGATCATTCCAAAACGATGGTTATTCGACTGAATCAGGTTTATAACCCATTGAGCGTGGTTGGGAAAGGGGGGCGCAAGGCCATTCCACGGTCAAGTGGCAGGATTCTCTGAATTGAGGAAGGATGTGCAGGCAGGCCTTCATTGTGATTGGCTGCGACAATGACATGAACTCGCTATTTTTGTAGCGTGCACCGTCGCTTGGAAACGTTTTATTTTTTGTTGCCTTGTCGTTTTTTTTCTGCTGGGAATTTCCCTGAGTAATGAAACATTATTGTCCAACAGACATTTTGTTGCAGGGGGTCAAGTCTTGGCTAAACGGATTTTGCTTACTAGATGGAGTTTAAGTTTAACCCTGTGGCAGTCGTTATACGTGAGATGAGAATAGGTGACGTCCCCAGTCAAAAATGACCTTTTCCCTCTAAGCTACCTCCAGGGGGGGGGTCCAGACCCATTTTTCGGGGGGGGGCAAGTAAGCGGTATCCCCGGTGCACTTTTGCATTTGATGATCGTAGCAGTTACAAATAGTAGGTGCTCAAACAATTTCATGAACAAAATGGCTCTTTCCATTCAAAACCATCTCAATTTAAGCCTCTTCACATCTGAACTCTTATTGATTAAAAAAAAAAAAAATCGTCATTTTTTTTGGGGGGTGGCCCCGTTCCCCCCTGGCTACCCCAAGCTGTTTGGCCGCTTTTAATAGGTAAATCTAACCTCGACTGTTGTATAAATACAGGAGAAAGCTACGGATATCGCCCACTCAGAAACCCTCTTGTCTAATTTTAGTGCATTGGTTCTGGCAAGTCCGCCCTTATTCAGCCGGCACGTTTCTGCTGCTTGTAACTTCGACCTCAACCCTCAATACCCGGATGTCACGCCGCGCCACGCGCACCCGCCGCCAAATATAGCTACCGGGGAAACCTCGTTTCGCTCTGTATACGTTTTGGGCTTTGCGGGCGAGGCCCCACGGGTCACGAGGAGAAACAGCTGTACTATGCTGTACCCAACCCGATGTTATTTGTTCACGATTGCTGTCGCGATAAGCTGGCTGAAAGATTGAATTTCCAGTCTGGGGGGCCGACGTAATTTTTAGCAAGCCCGCTTCGCTCTCACAGACCAGATGATTCGTTATCCATGTGGTCGCATGGGATGCCATCAACGCATGCGGGAAGACAGACGACTTATGAGAGTTTGAATCCTCACTGGATGTCTTCTCTGTCAGACCCTAACTTTTAACAAGCATTATTTAGGAGTTATTTAAATACCCTATCGAGGGGAAGCAATTCCCGTGCGATGACAGATACAGGGGTGTCGCATGCCTCGGATGAAGGCGATAATGGCCTACAAATTGAATTTTGTTCTGCGCCATCCTGGAACCTAGATTTGCCGAACCGCTGTTAGTCTGCACAAACTGTTGAATTTATTGAACGAAATCCATACAAACCTTTGTCTCATGTATGTTTCAACTTGCCCGAAAATAGCGCGAAAGTATCGCCCGTAAAACCTCTGCTATTTTCGAATCAACCTAGTTTCCCTTGCGGCTTTTGAAACCAATTTAGCTTTGCCTAGCTCTTTACGCTCACCCTTGTTTGATTGGCTGTGGGGTCATATATATCACCATCCACGATAAAGTGATTCTTCTTTCCCTCTGCAATTTCTGTGGTTAAAAAATGTACAAAAAGGTTATTTAAGTGTCGGTCTTGGGAAGGAGAATATATTGGCAATTACCAAGTCGTTGTTTACCAAATAATGGTTCTTATTACGAAAACAAAAATGATGACAGGATGGAATCTGGTAATTATTAGGCCTACATGTATTACAAAAAAGCAGCAGCATAAGAGTAGTCTTCAACAGAAATTATAACATCGTCGATATGATGCAAAATGTAAGAAGATTATAGCGTCAGGCGTGAAAAAAAAATGCACACATTGACCACGTCTCGATAATCAAGCGATCTAGGAATAATGTGGGGCGTATATCCCTAAATAAATACCGTCAAAAAGTTGATGTTACCTTCAAAGATTGCCTCATTCTGTTCTATGATTGTCTCCATTGCATCTGGCCCTGCATCCAAAGCTGTAGGAAAAATGTGTTATTTGATTTCAGTTTGGAAGCAACTAATTGCGAAGGACTATTGATAGAGTAGGTTGATATACATTTTTTTTATGAACGAAGGAAAAAATGGTAACCGCGAGTTGATATGCCGCTGTAGCCCCGAGTAAAGTCAATTAAGAAAATGTAGTATATTTTACTTTGAAATTGAAAGAATTTCTTTGGCAAATTTGGCCATCAAATCCTTTGTTATTCTCTATTAAGACCAGAACTAATTTGAGGGCAGAAGCAACCGAACTCTCCGAAACTGATCTGTACACTACAAAAACCAACAGTCCCGGTTTGTTGAGTTGCGACCCTTTGTAAATATTACTACTGATGTTTTCGTTTTTAAACCAATCCAATCGTTTTTAACCAATTTCCAACCATCGAAACCTCGAGCACACAACCATTCTTGTCTCGTCTTTCATGCTTAACGTTCACACAGAATCCTTCAGAAGTTCAAACACACTTCTGCCCTAAGTTATCAACTAAAGGCACCATTTAATCACGTTACCAACTTTCCATCTTGTATATTCTTATTTATTTGGTGGACCAGGAAAAGGACTTGTCAACGAACTCGTCCTTTACATCCCGCAAACAACAGTAATGATCGCTGGATATTCAGTTGATGTCTCCCCCAGTTTTAACTAATTCGACCCGAGTAAAAAAGTCTTCCCACGAAATGTGATCGCGTGCAATAACATCGACTCAAGGCCAAGGCGATGACAGCTCGGGATTGGACGTGCTTACTTGGTGAAGGTCTACATGCAATCGCGGTGTTGGTTTGGGCATAAAGTTAAGGTTTTCGTGGCAGTATCCGTTGAATGCTTAACGGGACGACTGACGGCGTAAATTGTTGGATGGTAAGAAAGATTACGGCTATTCATTTATCCTGGATGCTTGCTCTGAATATGTTGCTGACCAATTTTGCTGGCAACAAAAAGAAACAAGACACGTTTGGAAGCTTTCGAATGGTTGAAGTTGTTATACATATTTACGCACTCATTAATTTCCTTATAAAGTTTGACGGGTACCTTTTCTGAGGTTAGATGCTACTCAAAAAAATGTACAATTTACATTGATCCCTGACCCACTAGACAGAATTTTAATTTCCAGAAATCTTGTTGGTTTGCTGAGCATTGGTATTCAGGTCACAAGCTAAGCGATGGGGTTTCACCCCATCACGCCGGAGTCATTCACTTACTTTGCGGTGCTGGAGGCCCCACAATGACACCACTCTGCAAAACAATAAAATAAGATACCGGTATTTAGAACTGACAGCATTGTGAGTTAGCATCCAAGGGGTGACTACAGGAGAGGAGAACCTATTGACAGGTTTCTTGTGTCGATTGGTGGCAGAAGACAGGCGGCATTTTCCCTTCTGTTAGGTCATCAGATTGTCGGCACACTCGTGAAAAGGGGAGGGGTACATCACTCGAGAAGTATGTAATTTGCCTACGTTGATCGACACACTGTCAACCGCCCGCGAAGCTCTTCGGCAAATTCTTCCTGAAAACGGGTTTCACACGATTCAAACCATCAGTTGAGGATATTTGATGCAAATTGTCCATTTAAAATTTTCTGGGAACATTTGACATGAGCCACTCCCTGGTTACCTTGCATTGGGTGGACGGGGCTTAAAAGGGGGCGGGAGAAGCTATACTTGCAAGAAAAAGATTCTTGTAAGGCGCTGAAAAACTTTGGTGCGGTATGACAATAGTAAGTTCATTTCAAGTTTCAAGTCACAATTTTTATTTTTTTTTTCATGTCACAAAGGTTACTCATTTTAGTCATAACGGTTGATCGTGTTTTTATGTAATTATACTGCATAATGGAAGAAGCTATGAAGTTTCCATTGGAACAAAATTCAATTTCCGTATCAGATTAGCCCAGCAGAACATCCGCTTCAGCAATCAAAACGAAAATCCCCCCTCTCTACCGTTGTATCACGATCATTTACGATAATTGTCTTGAAGGCGAGGGACTCGTTTTACTCAAGAGAAAGAAGGCTAACCGTATCCCACAGTCATTCGGCTTATTTCCCTCACGTGGCGAACATCACATCCACGGCATTCCTGTACTGACTGGGAAGGCTGTTTATGGAAACCGACTGAAAACCCGTTTGTGCGGGGACTCGACCGTGTAATTTGCCGGGCGAAGGCACAGTCGCGGCGCGGCGCGTCGGCACGAACGTTCCCCTATACCTCGCTTTGATAAAACTTCAATCCCCATTAAAATGTCATTTCATGTGGTAACTCGATTTGCGTTATGACAACATGCGACGCATGTTCAGGGAAGGGTATAAGGACGACTTGTACGCAGTGTCATGGAAAGTGCAAGCTCAAAACACATGCCTCAATCAAGGGAGAATGTCGCACATAGTGTATAGGCCTATTCCCTTTTCCAAGTGCAGCTCTTGATGTCTGATTGGTCAAACGCCTAGTCTCAATACCCTGTTTCAGTTTCGCTAAAGTACTCTCATTTTTTAAAGCGATTTACGACAGGGCTTTGCGTATTATGGTAATTTGACAAACCGGGAAACCGGTTGAAAAAATCTGACTTTCAGATTCTTAAGTTCCATAAATCTCTGCACCAGTAAAAAAAAAATAAACAAAAACTACTCTTCCCAGGCATTGGTTCATTATTTGTGAAACGGTCGTTTTCATTACTATTAATTTTTCAATACTTGGCAATGTCTTGTAGGAGATGAAACCTTGGTCACGCTCCTGGTTCACGGCAGCGCTGTTTATATTATAGAGTGAGTTGCGACATGAGTGTCTCACTTGTGGGAACCAAAATGGTGGATTATGGGTCAGCGGCAGCGAACATGGACTGCTAGCACACGATAGCTACGTGCTGTACTGCATACATAATGAACGGCCATTTTGGTCCCAAACTCTGGAGTTGGCGCCACTTTCTCTATGAGTGCACTGTCTCAATTCCAGGACAATTCTCCACCTGGCGGAGGCGCTTAAAAGTACCCCTACAGTTTCTTTGAAAAGAAAAGGGGGCTTGTGAGGGCCAAGAAATTGTGGGATTGTATAAGTACGGCCCAGGAACAACTCTCTATATTCAAGGGCTCCCATCCGGAGGCAAAGATGCCATTGACAAAAATGTCATTGAAAAAAATTGTCAAAAGAGCCTGAAAAAGTTAATTGATGTCATTTGAAAAATAGCTGCTGAGAAGATTTGGGAACATTCACTTTCGGGGGGGTGAGTTTATTTTTGGAGGAAAATTAAAAAAATCATTGGTTAACCTTCTGAAAGTTGAAAATGAAATGAAATGTGAAGGGCCAAATGCCACATTGTTTTTGTTTGCGACACCTGAGGGGCTTCGGTTGCCCGCAATGGGGCTTCGAACTTTGTTGATTTCACACTGGTTTCAATGGAGCTTGAATTACTGCAGTGCACCTCTTATTAGCAGTTCTGGTTCACAGGATGGAAGGGCGCCATCAATATTACTTATGCAGTAAAATAGGGTACGGATCGGTATTTGTGATTTAATGTTCCGGTCGCAGAACAGAAGAAATATTTTCTTTCTGTTTTTCCTGGAAAATATTTTCTTCAAAGTAATCCGTGCGGACCCCTCTTTTTGGCTGTATGTTTCCGATGGAGCGATTCATTGCCTTGAACCCCTCTGTCGTGCAAAGGCACGACTCTGTCAAGTCAGACTACGCGATCGCAGTCTCAACAGACAGCGATCGAACCACTTATTCCATGCATTAAAGAAGTGCATATAGACAAATAGGCTCCGAATCGGCCAAGCCGGACCTGACCATATTATGCAAGCAAGACGTTACATAATTAGTTTTTTTTCTCAACTAACCAGGGATCAAACTCAAGGCGCTGCTTAACACAAATTAACTGTAAGCGTATTTCACTATCAACATTTCACAGTTACTGAGCAGAGGACAGAAAATTACATGGGCACACATAGAGATTTCCATTGTTACGTCAAATTTAAAGTATAGCTGTAATGAATTTTTCTTCATCACAAATTTTCTGCATCTTTAAATTTTTGCTTCTCTTCAATGCATAAAAACTCTTCCACGCTCCTATTTGCACTGAAAGGTGCATACTTTTAAACAATCAAATTATCCATGTTTTCCTGGACAATTAAGGGCGCTGTTGCTATGAAGTCATCTGGGGAAGATGGCTCAGTGCAAAGGTAATTCTGTTCAAATTGTGAACCCAGAATTTACTAACTGATAACATTTCTGAGAGAGGGATTGATGGGTTCTTATTGCTATGCACATAAACAACAATGAATCAGCAAAAACGAAAAAACTTAGTCCAGGAAAATCTACAAACACGCAGGACTAGACGTATACAAGCCAATGTAACACTGAGATTTCTTCCTGAGATGACATCACAGTTTTGCTCATGAATATGGAAATCTCATTAATATAAAAACCAAAAGGCATTAAAATACCCTTTCAAACAATCAAATCAAAGTTTAAAATAAGGTTTACTGAGGCACAAAGGTGCATTTTACAGGTTTGTGGTCAAAAACATTGATTGCAGCTACCCTTTAATTAATTTTTAAAGCAAACTTTTCTTCCAAAGGTTAGTAAGTCGTTTGTTATACTAACCACTTGTGTCTCCATGAAAAAGCGTAAGCCTAAGCCTAAGCGTAAAATAGTCCGCTATAACAGCGCCGTGAAAATGGGCCCGGTGGGTTGGAGAAAGGCAACGATCACCAAAGGGTTGTAGAAAATGAATAAACGTCGTATATTAGCCATGAGATTGATGGGTGTGATTTTTCTTGACTTTTATTATCACAGGCGCAAATATGCAAGAATTTCCTTTCATAAGGGTGTATGACCTATTCATTCATACATTCCTCAATGAAAGGAAACTCTTGCATGTTTGCGCCCCTAATTACTATTGAACTGCCCTGCACAGCGATAAGGCCTCTGTGGTTAAATGTAATCTAACAAGCTCAGAACATATGTTCAGTATATACCATTCATAGCCCGCGACCTTGCTACAAAGAATGATGCGACACTATGCTGCATCAAACAAGTTACAGTTACGGACAGTCCGAAACTCAATCCAGAACGGGCAGAGAAATGTGAGGAATTTTTCTACGCTAAATTTTCAGGTTCACTTTAAACACATTTCCTTCCTACTTTTGTAAGATGGAGTACTTGTTTTTTGAATGCACCACTCGGAGGGAAAGCCGCCAATTTCCGAGACTGACAGAAAATTCCGGCCGTTTCGAGAGCGCTAACGGATAAATATAGCAAACACCCAAAACAGCTTCAGCAGTTCCTGGGACGATGTTATTTTATAGTTATCCAGGTGGTAGTGAGCACTCAGGAAATGCTTTGGGTCAAAACGATTGGCAGACACCCCTGCCAGGTTTATGCCATTAATATTCAGCTGTAAATCTCGTTTTGATTTTACGTGACAAGCCGCTTTGCCAGAGGGGGCCATGTTTGACTCATTAGCCTCTGCCAGCCGCCAGTCCTTGTCGTCACGGGCACCCTCCAGATAAGCCCCATAATTTGCCACGTTTGCGTTTTTCTGTCTCTCCATTCCTCCATTTGCAAACTTGTTGACAAATCTGAGGCCTGACAGTGTCGGGTGCAACGTACTTCACATAGTCATATCTCCTTGTAGCACATGCTCGCTCATAATCGCGCCGTTCCGCGCGTGAGGGTTTAAATGTTGACGACGTACTCCATATTAACGAAGAAATCCAATTCTGTTGACTTTTAGACCAAATCCATGGAATTAATTGTCCGTTAACGCCAGAAAGAACTACAGGCAGTTTCTATGTACAATTTACCGCTCTAATTTGACTAAAAAGTAAACAGACGGCCCCTGACGTCAAAAAGTAGTGAGTTTGATTATGAAAGGTCCAAGAGGAACCTTACGGTGCTTGGTAGAATTGGCCTACTGTACGTTCCTTCTTTTCAGTGTCCCTGATCCACCTCACCACATTGTCAATGAACTAAATCTATTCTGAGGGGCACTGCCCAAATTAGTAGAACTCAAAGGGTACAAGATTACAGCCAAGGTGGGCTGCGCATGGTGGGCGTTAGGGATTATATGAACGCTCTGAAGATAACCTGCCTGCATATCTGGCTGCAGATAATAAATGTGGTAGGGCGTTTCTGTGCCACAAAATAATTGGGATTCCATCCATGCTTTCGCTGGAAGGGGGTTCGTTGAATTCACTTTTTATCGGTAGTACAGATTTCATTGATGGGAACCGTTTTTGTATGGACGT